CATTTTCATAATCCTTAACCAAATAAAAATAACATAGAGACCTTATCAATTATGCTTGATTCCACTTGGAAATCATATGTATTAGATTGAAGGGTCCCTTTTCTATCTCTTAATACACTAACAAATAAATTTCTTAAGGCTTTACGTGATCTTATATCTTATATGGGGGATAATCACATTTTATTTACAAAGCCTTCTTGGACTTATAAATTACTAAACCTTGCACTTTAGGGTTAGTAATCTATAAGTTCTTTATAATTTAATAATTAACTATAACCCTTAAAATCTAAATAATAAAATCCAAATATATACAATGTAATCTTTAATTAAAATTTCCTTCTAGCCTTTAATAAACAAACATTAATAATACATGCAACTTAAACCCTAAACCTTTATAAGACATATCAAAGTCACTTAGCCTATTTCACATACTTAGATTGTTTGCTAGGACAATCAACTCCATGTTATGATAGGCTAATGGTATGAATTTCTTACCATGTGCTTTTCTTGGAGAGCATCCTATGTCAATTTAATTATATTTTTGCAACTCTAAATGTCATACATATTATATTTCTGTTGGTACACTTAGGATTTTTAAGGATTAAATTAGAAAAATTATAATATTACATAATTACTATATATTTATATTATTTCTATGTTAATGTTTTTTTTCTAGCTCTTTATATAATTATTCAAATCAATAAAGTAATAAAAAATATTTTTGTTTATTTACAACACTCTTTTATTTGCATTGCATACATGCATTACATCATATGAGTAGTAGATTGCATTAGTGGGTAGTCTTTTCTTAGGTTTTCCTTGGTGTATGTATTCCAGACTTTTTAGGAACACATATACTAGTTCTAATATGATATAGTATTGGATATTGTATACATGAACACCTTTACTCTGACATGCACACATATATGCATTTTATTTTATGCAATATATAATAGCCCAGCAAGCAATCCTATAGCAAGATAGTGGGGTCCTCTTGCACCCGGTGGATGCCACATTATTCCTTTTGGTATAGGGTTGTTATGCTGTCAAAATTTCTTCAACATTTTGGTGGCTAAAAAATTTAGTTAAGTTAATTAAATAAGATAAAATTTAGAGTTCTTAGTGAGTCTTCTCGATAGTATCACTTGAACTTAAAATGAAAATTCATCTTGAGTCACTAATTCAGAGTCTCATTTGCTCCTTTGAACTCTTAGGATAGAACTACCTTTATCATATATTTCATCTAGGATGATTACTTGTGAAATAGGTTATTAGCTGGATGTTCATTCCAAGTAGGCATAAGCCCAGTTGTATCTTCACACCTCCTATCCTAATAAATAAGAACCATACACATATGCTAAATATAAATGTATTTTCTATAAAATTTGACAATATTTTGGAAGAAATGTGAAATATTTTCAAACATCTAAGGAAACTTTCTTATATGTAATTGTATTATATGTTTAGGTTTAATCTCCACTTTAATAAAAAAAAATTCTCTTTGAAGATGTAATTTACTATAGAGCTTGTATCTATAGGAACTCAAAATCCTAATATAAAATAAACTCTATCTTAACTTACTAAAAGTGGGGAAAAATATCTAGACATCGATCAAGTTTATCCATAGTCCATTTCGTATTCTAAATGATAAGTGAATGTGACTTTTATCCTTTTGGATAATTATTACATTCCCCACACAAAGTTTGGATACGAAAATAAACATTTTCCTTCCTTAAATCGATAATGTAGTGTTAGTTTATTCTTTGGGAGAATTAACACAAATTATGTGGATTTGTCTAAGGAAATATTAAATCAATCGAGTGGCAACATTCACATGTTTAATTTATCCATAAATGAGTGTGGAGAATATCAATTGATCCTTCTGGGTGAGATTTTTCTTACTTATTCTCATGTATCTTTTTCATATGAATAAAATTAATTTGAGTTAGCTTCTTTTATTATCCATGTCTGGCTAAATCTCAAAGTTTTGGGCTAACGATGTACATATATAGCAAGTATTAATGTAGACTCATATGTTTTAAGTTATTCCATATATATTTTTAATATATCTCATTTTTCATTTAATGAATACAATAGCCACATATATATAGTTAACATCTAGTGTGATGTATAGCCTTGACGGAGGAATATTAGAATAATTAGGAGTATTGAAATGGAATGTTGGCATACCTAAATGTAGGATGTTGAACTTTTTAGGTTCTATGGAAATAGTATAATTATAGGAATGCCTTAAACCTCCTTTTTCATTCCTATAAACTTGACAGAGATCTAGGGATGCATATGCTCTAATCACATTTAAAATAAAATGTCTAATTAAGAAAAGTATATTATCTTGCATTCATTAGTCCAAAATATTTTATTTCCATCGGTATCAAATTCTCTTTCAAGTTTCCATTACATAGCAAAAACTCAACAAACATTCATTTTTATATTCAATATGATAAATTACACATTTAGATTAAACAGTAGTAGTTTAATTATAATTAAGCGAAACACTTTCTCCTAGGATCAACACTATTCTCTATCATTTTATTACTTAATTTGACATGTATACTTGCATATTTAATGGGCTTTCATAAATTTTATATCAAAGAAAACCTAAGCATATATCCACATCAAATTTAAGTGACCATAATCTAGCCTTGTCCCCACATCAGAAGGCAAGGCAACCTTTTACATTTAATCGCTCTTTTCCTCACCAACATAGTTATAAATTTTGCAACTAGTGAAATACTTACTCATGAATCACATAGTAGGGGAAGATGATGTAAGTATATGAGCTAGTGTAGGAGGAGTGATTTTAAATGTAAGCAAGATCCTTTGGGAAGTAGAGTTTAAGTACTCAATCATAGAGAAATTAGCATCGATATTGATCATTATAGCTCAATAACTGGCCATAAAATAACTTCATGTTATAAAGTAGAGTTGGTTGACTCTAGAGATAAGAAAATGAGAAAAGCATGGAAATAAATATATAATTAATAAAATAATTAAAAATTTAGGCATGAAAGTAAAGAAAGTTAAAAGAAAAATAGTGAATTATTATAAATCAAATGTTATAGAGAAAATATTACATGTCAGGGATCTAGTCGTGAGGAATTTAGATTTAGCTACATGCCAATTTGTACTCGAGACTAAACTTGGGAAGGGCCTTATTATCAACAAGAAATTGAGCCCTAAATCATACCCATTACAAATGCATACTATGAATGATGAACTGATAAAATGGAGTGGAAATGACTTGATGATACTCCATTCCTCAAAAGAGAATGATCTCACTCTATCCCATCTTTTGTTTTAAGATTTTCTATTAGAAAGAGAAGTTTTATTTTATGAAATTAAGTGAGTTTAGTCCAAACCTACTAAATTGAAAGCCTGGGGAACATTCCTTTCTCATTGTGTAACTCGGGTTAATGGAAACTCTTAGCAAGTTTGATGAGTATAATAAATAAATATTAGAAATATTTGATAAAAGTAGGGCCATCATAAGATATTACAAACTTGAAGTTGAATAACTTCAACCTTGAGCAAATATTTAAACGAGAATTAAAAAATATTGACATAGAAAAGTGTACTTAGTTAATTAAGAAAAGGAAAGCTAACTTAAGCAAGGGATTACACTGATATTGGCTCAAGGTCGAGTCAAAAAGTGATGATATTACTCATTACAATATATCTAAGCCCCATGATAGATAGATAATATAAGCTTAATAAAGATGCTTTCCATTATTTATCTAACCAGTCTTTAAAATATTACAGAGCATTGCAAATAGCTCAATACGAAGCATTGCAAATAGCTCAATACGGACGAGGTTTTCCAAAACCGATATTCTACATGCAGTCAGCATACCAAGATAAAGATATGATCATTTTTCTGCATAGCAAATTAATCAAGGGACCACTATTCAGATTTCGTTATTATGTCAAAGATATTAATCTTATAGAATATGTCAAGACTTTTTCTTCACATCTAATCGTCACTAAAGACAATTATCAGACATTTTTAACTAGAGTCTTATTCTAAAAGAAAATATATATCCAACGAAGCTTGAAAAGTAATGATCAAGTCACCTCCTTAAATTAATTCTTAAAAGGAAAGATATTCTAATGAATTCCCCTCTTATTTTGATTGCTTGCTCATTATTTACTTTCAAGAAATTTCCATGGGTCTTCATAGGTCAATCCCATCAAACAATACCTTAACATTTTGTATAGCTTCAAAATAAAAAGTCAAGCCATAAAATTTGGACTCCATATTTACAATAAGATTTACACTGATTGAGAATGAAGTCCTTCCTAATAGGCAAGTCTAAACATTATCTCTATAAAAACTAAGACCTACTAAAATGTGGGCCCTTCCAAGGAGATGACCCAATTAGATATACAATCTACTAAAACTTTCAACTCACTGAATGCATCAGGTAAGGAATACTCTAACTTTGAAAAGGTGAGCAGAATTTAATATGTATAATTGAATATTGGGATGTCAAAGACTCAAAGTTATTGTTATTTTTAAAGGGTGAATCTCACTAAACACACTTAATTATAACTACCCCTATTAAAACCGGACAATTTTTTTTATATCACTGCTGCACGACAAGTATTTAGTCAAATTATACTTTTCCTTAAATATATCTAAGTCCTTAGATTTTTTGTTTACTTTTTTAAATCCTTTAAAGCAACTTATGATGCTTCAGGATTTAACAATGAATTATGTCAACAAACAGTAAGACCTTGTAACCTCTAGCTTCACGAACAATAAATTAAAACGCGAACACGAATAGAAATAAACCGAAGGTATAAGCCAAGAAGCACATCACACGAAAACAAGAATAATTCTCATATTGAAATACACAGTAATTCTGCTATAGGAAACAAAAAATCAATAGGGCACGTAACTGACGTTTTCCAAGTGGCATATTTACGTCATCTTCCCTTGACAAATTGTAGCATAATGGAAATCTGATAATAAATCTTAATAATGATTATCACAAAACATCCATTAATATATTCTGTAAAAGCGTGTTGATAATTCATCTGAGTTGCAGAAAGTCTGTACATCATATTGATAAAAAATAACAAAACTAAGCTTCAAAAGAACCAAAGACAGTGAACAGTCTATATGGAAGAGAGCACCAGAGTTGCAATTTAAAATCCAAGATTTGAAGCGAGAACATATTACACAAGGGCAGCGTGATCTCTAATGCATCCTCCGCCGCCAAATGCAGCAAATGAAAGAGAGCGAAAAAGCTGCAGCAAGGGAAAGTTACCAGGTCAATAATTGTTCTTCAAAGCTAAAAGAAAAATGAAGTTCAAGAATGCTGATCAAAATAAATCTCTTTCAGTAAAACAGCCTTCGGTTGGCAACGAAGATTTTATTTGGGACGATTTTCTTACTGATTTTTTAAAGCAACTTTTTAGTATAAAAATTAAAATTTTTGAACTAAAAAACTGATTTAAGAAACAGTAAGAAAGTCATCCCAAACAAAGCCGAAATCACCATCACTCCTAACTACTGCCAATCAAATAACTAAAACCAAACTGGAATTGCCTACCAAAGAGAGGAAATCATCAATGTAGAATATTGAATTTAAAACCTTAATACAACGCAAAGAAAACGATTTGCATACAATTACAAGGATAGATGAAAAGTTAGATCATGACAAGCCTTTGAAGCAACACAAAGGGTATATTTGAGATAATTGTAATTTTTTTATAAAGATAGTTATAAAATTATCGCAGAGAGTGAGTAATTTTTTCAAAAATTATTATTGATTTTTTTCAACAACTTTCTTATACCTACTAAACATTAAAAGATCTTGCTATAAAATACAGCTTTTCATTATAAAAATTTCTGAAAAATAGCCGTGCTCCAAATATAAGTATGATAAATGATAATAGTCAGAAAAACAAAACATTTAAATAGCTACCCCAAACCGTAAAATCATATCAGCAAACCAGGTAAATATCTCTTATAGAATGCCTCCACAGCTTCAAATTAGCCAGTTCTATGTCAATGTGCGAATGCAAATAACATCAATGTCAACAAAGAATAATATTATTGTCAAGTGCAAACGAAGTCTACAAAGAGTAGAATTAAGGTCATGCACTGATGGGAAAAAAAATACTAAACACTTCTGAAGTACTAATTACTTGGTTTCTTCAATTTTCTATGTGCATGATTGCATGTTGATCCTTTCAAGTGCGGTGCAAATATGATTACCAATTTCCTCCTTGTACAAGAGGCCTATATTTCCTCTACTTGGTGATTTTTTTCTAAATAATTTGTTATTGATTTTTTATGAGCTTGACAAATTTTAATCAAATGCATTTCAAGCTGAATTCCTGTTTGCAATTTGAAACTTGATAAACTTATGGTTTTTTATGGCTTCAATGCTCCATTGAATTCATTTGGTTAATTGATCATTAAATAATCGTTTGACACAAATATTTCATATTTTCTTAATTGCATTAGTTAAATATTTGTTTAATCAACTGTCTTTGAACTATGAATTTCCAATCTGAATTGTGTGTTCCAATCTGAATTGTGTGTTCCATACATCAGATAATATAGTTGAATTAGAAAGCCTAGCTCCGAAGATGTTTACCAACAAATTGGTATTAAAGCTCAAAGCTTCTTAATAATGTCAATTATAGGACATAATACCTGAGTCAAGCAACAAATAATAATATAAAGCAATTTAAATGAAATCAAGAAGGTTATTGATCTAAACAACTGCAATGTGACCAACATGGCTCAGAAGTATATTTCGACATTTAATGAGAAATATTATTTATAGAATTTAAAAATTAGATTGATAATTTCAAAATACATCTGTGTAACTGATTCCTACAGAGTTTAAATTGCTAAAACAAAATTGATGGTAAATACTTGAAATCATTTTGGATAATTGTTAAATCTACAATGGTTAAAATAAAATTTTAAGTTAAAGATCAATATTTATCATTCAACAAGTTGCACGATCAATTAAATTATTATAAATAAGATAACTATAGTGCCGGTGTATGCAAAATTTATAATTCATATATAATAATGACAACAAACATTTATATCACTACATGGGATCAGCTATATGAATCTTTTTTTTCAATATTATGTCCTATTAAGAGTCAAATTCTCATTGAAATATAATAAAAATATAATTTTAATAATTTCTAACCAAGCATTTTTAGGTCTACCTCTATCTTTTTAACAAGAGCTAGATTTAATACATCTACTCTCCTAAACAAGATCATCGAGAATGGATTTATTATTCTCTGCGGAGTTCGCAGCTTCCGAAGACCAACAAAAATGCACCACATCACCCTAAAAATGTACCGCGCTCGGTACCCACGCTCGGTACCACTCGGTACCAAGCGCGGAACCAGACAGGAGAACCGTTCGGTGTCCGCACAAAATAATCTCTCCATCGAATGACTGATGTTTTGTGTCCAAACCATCTATAAAGACTTTCTCTAATCTTATCTTCCACATGAGCTACTCTGACCTTTTCACGTATATATTCGTTTTGCATTTTATCTCTAAGTGTAAAAGTCAATCATCCACCTAAATATCCCATCTATGCAACACTTAATTTTATGCTTCTCTTTTAATGGCACGCAATATAACATTGCAGGTCTCACCACAATTTTATAAAAGTTTCTATTAAGTTTGAGGGATATTTTTCTATAATAGGCCCGATGCATTCCTCCACTTTAGCCATCCAACTTGAATTCCACTAATAATATCCTCACCTATTTCACCATCACTTTGAACAGTAGACTCTAGATATCTATAATGTGCACACTTTTTAATAAGATGATCACTCAATGTCACAATCCCACCACTGTACCTATTACTAGTAAAATTACACTCATGTATTCGATTTTAAATCTACTCATATGAAAACCTTTAGAGTTTAAGGTTGACCTCTATAATTCAAGTTTTTTATCAACTCCCTCTCTACTCTTATCAACAAGAAGAATACCATTAGCAAAAAGCATACGCCAAGGTACATGTTTCTGCAAATGTCTAGTAAAAATATTCATGACTAAAACAAAAAGATGTAAGTTTAAAACTAATCCTTGATGCAATCCAACAAAAATAGGAAAATAATTGGTTAAACCATCTTGTGTTTGAACAAAAGTACCAGCTCCTGTATACATATCATTAATGACTTGAATATAAACATTATTAATTCATTCTTTTTCTAAAACTCTCCACAGTACTTCTCTTGGAACTTTATCATATATTTTCTCTAAATCAATAAATATCATATATATAGATCCTTCTTACTCTATATTTCCTCATCAAACCTCTCAACAAATGCATAGCTTCCATAGTAGACCTACCCAATAACTCTACATAGCTTGTTCTTTAAACTATCAAGATAACGAAATCGTGTCGGCTATTAATGTTGGAATCTAGAAATATCATGTTCTTTGATATGATATGGTTTAGGCTATTGATGCTTATAAATATTAAAATCAGAGATTCGTAAAAGAAATTTTGATTTAAAAAAAGCACTTGATTGGATGTTAATTTCTTTAAGCACAATGCAACGAACTTTCTCCCCTTTTATTTAATAAATAACTTGTTGATAGTTTTTAGGAGTGTGAATGCTTTGAGTGGGCCTATATTAATAGAGTGAATATTAATCATTTTTTAGTTTTTGCTGGTTTCAATTCTTCAAAAAATTTATTTAAATAAATCGATCATTAAATTAACATTCAGTATGGATTCTTTGTATTTTTTTTATTGCACCAACAACAAGTGAATAATTGTTAAATCAGTGTCTTCGAACTGCAATTTTTCGATCTGAATTGTATATTTATACACCTCCTCACCTGGTTATTTTAAGAACTATACAACCTACACATGTATTGAAGAACCTGAGAAATTAGCGTGGGCATACAAGACAGCTGCAGAAGACAGAGAAACAATGAATGGTTTGAGCACATAGATGGAACTATTATGTTTTAGAAATTCATAGGAAAAGCAGGAATATTAGTCGGAAATAGGTATTGCTATCACTACAGACATTCAGCATCTATCCAGCATATGAGTATGGAAATATCAGTATAACACTAGGTAAGGCCCGCTAGTAAAGTAGTAATTATGATCACTATCTATCTCAAAGATTTGGACCATTAAAACCTTCACCGTTGACAACAGTAGTAAAATTTCTTCCAAAACAATATCAGAATGGCAACACAACCAAATCCAATTAGTTCCTGAATAAACATATCTATCCAACCTCAACAATGTCATCCAAGTTGGTGGCTCTCAAATCTGATCAGGATCTTAAATCATAACACACAACAGACCACCTTACATGCTCACAATACTAGATGCTAAGGCTGAGAGGATATAGATTAAAGACGTTTTTATGGCATCAACTACCAGTTATAATATTTGAATTTTTAATACAAGCATAAAGTCCTGCATCAATTTTAATATTTCAATTGACCTTTCTATATTGTATGGATTTAAGTGTTGAGCACTTAAAAAGTCATTGATAATCAAGCTAAATGTGACAAAAATAAAACTGCTAAAATAAATATGAATCAAAATAAGAAACATAAGCAATATTTATATTATAGGAACCATGGTAGTAATTATATTGAAAATATGATAGTGAAAATTTCACTTTGGTGATCGGAATGAATTCATTAATAGGCATATAAAATTAGTGCCAAAAATTAGAAAGAAAAATACATAAATCTAAAATCAAATGCAACGTTTCACAGGGTTAGAAATGAAAATTGGGAATTCATAAAGCTAACCCAAATAATTAGGATGAGGCTAATAATAATGCTGATGATCAATTTAACCACCATTTATTGAGCAGAAGTGATCATATTCAAAAATAACAAATCATATAAGCTTCCTAGAGAGCACAGATAAAATACATTACCTATTAGCAGAAAAAAAATGAAATATGAGATCAGAATGCTGCTAAACTGTAACAACACAGCTAATTGGAAAAGTAACGTAGCAAGTAGAAGTTACGAATCTATCAAAATACAAAAAAGACTAACTTTTTAAGTTTCTCCCTAAATTCTGCTCTATATTACTTCAATAAAAAAACACAAGATAAGATGGTAACAGAAAAATGCAACTTTCTAGAATTAATGACTTGCTCAAAAAGTTTGAAATAATAACGAAAGAGTAGGATAGAAGAAAAAGGACATATCTACTTTTTATCATACCCCAGTCATACCAGCAAAAAGATGGAACAAAGTTCATCTCAAGCATAAGCACATGCAAGCATTAATGTGTCAGACAAACATCATCAATTCAGGCCTGCTGTAGACATTGCTCTCCTCATCCTCCAACACAGGGTAAGCAGCAACAAGTGTATCCTGAGCTCCAATATACAAAGAGTTATAAATTTTCCAATAAACCTCACGGACCTTTCTTGCTGGATGGAACAAGCCTTGGAGGCAGTAATTCAGGACAACAGCAGCTCCTAAGGCAACTCTCATTCCTTCAATAGCCTCCATTACTGCATTTATGACATGGGGAGAAGTTTCAAATATATTTGGCCACACATAGTTCAACAGATGGACCAAAGCATCCTCACAACCCAAGCCAGCAACACCCAAAGCCATGTGCTTGACAGCTGAAGCAGCAGTCTGTCTATGAACCAGATCCCTGTCCATCAAAGCATCTTCCAGTAATGGTGTCACAGCATAAATATAATCCTTCCCCATCTCTCCAATGTACTCAAAAAGAAAGGAAAGAGATTTTAAAACGCCATTCTGTACATTCAATTCTGGAACACGGTATTCATTCATAAGAGCAGGGAGAACAGTGAATGGGGAGCAGGTTTCAGCAACTATAGCAATCGCAACTGTTGTGCAAACCCGATTTTGACGCTCCTGCACTTTCAAATTGTTTAATAAAGTTGCCAAAACATCTTGTGGTCCAATAGCTTTTGCAATGTACCCAAAGGTGTTCACAGTAGCTCTCCTAATGCCTTTCTTATGAGCCTTTAACATATCAAGCAGCTCAAAACAAATCCTCATCCACTCTCTAGCTGGGACAAACTCAGCCCCACGATCAGCAATCCGACCAACAAGATCAATACAGTTTTCCTGGACCTTCTCATGTCTGTTCTTCAGAATAGGAGTCAGCCGAGGAAGCAAGTCTTTGATAGGAGGGGTCATCTTCGTCATACCTATAACATTGACTATTGCCTTTAGTGCTCCCAAAATAGAGCCTAAAACCTCAGGGTACTCTTCTCCAAGATACTCATATAGCACAACACCTAAATGACCCATCAACTGCTCTTCATGACACTGTTTCATGACAACTGCAATCCGTGATATTAGGTCAGCTGCTTGCTGCCTTACTTTCGCACTTTTGTTGTTCAATCGCCATTTAATTGTTCCACATATCTGAGGAAGGTAAGGCTTCACTCTCTGACCAAGAGCATTCACCACTGCACCAAATCCATTGAGCATGACATTTGCATCATCACTTGTCTGTTCTTGGAATGCATAAAGAATCCCATCGATGAGCAGCTCTTCCAAGCGGGCATCAATATCAGAAGCCCCCAAATTGGATACCACTTTCTCAATTGTCTCCATAACCATTCTCCGGTAGGGCTCACTCTCATCTTTAAGGTCTTCGACCACCCTTCCAACAATATCTGCCACCCCAACCTTATTTGCAATTTCGACTGTAGTATCCACAAGCTGTTTGTAGTTTCTTCGATCCAAAGCCATTCTCCTTACCCAGAAATTTCTGAAGAACTCTGGAAGAATATCATTTCGTATGTAATCAGCTTCAACACCTTCAGTACTCACACACTGCTTGACAACTTTGAGCACAATCTTCTTCATTTCTTCATCAGGAGATTGGAACTCACGAATAAGAATGACCATCACTTCCTTTGTGTAGTAACTTGCATATAGTGCATCCATAAGGGGAATAATGAAGCCAATTGCCTTCAAAAAGGCAGCTAGAACCTTCCCACGGTGTGAACGAATGCCCTTCCAAAGTGGCTTTAGAACTGAATCAAAACTCTCTATACCATAAGGAGCAGCCGCTTCTGCCAATGCTGCAAGAGACAGGGCAGTAATTGTTCTGACCTTCTGATTCTCATCACTCAGCCCATGTTCAATGATTTCAACCAAAGACCTTAGGTGTGGAAGAACCGCACATCCCATAAGAATTGCAATCTGTTGCACAATTTTAATGCCAGTGTGTCGTGCTTGCCACGATTTTTTACTTTGACAGACAGCCTTCAAAAAAGGCAACAGAGCAGGAATTCCCAATGCAGAAGCCACCACACTGAAAGCCCTTGCAGTAGTATTCCTCACATATTCATCAATGTTATCAATATCAGGCCTCATTGCTGCAATCATAGTAGCCAAGCCAGCAGCTTTGCTTAGATTAGAAATGATCTCTCTTCCTTCAACACGAGCATAATAGTCCTCATCAATCAGTAAAGGCTCTATAACCACAAGAATCTTGTGCACAAAGGGGCGAACCAACTCATCCAACTTATACAACACCCTGTCAATAACCTTCACCAAGAGATGCCTCTCTTGGTCTTCAAGAGTAGGTTGCATAAGCAAAGGCAGGATTTTGTTGAAGAGAGGACCTGCTCCAAATTCCCTAGCCTTATCAGTAAGTTGCCTCAATGCAGTTTTCCTTTGGGGAGGAGTACCATTCTTCACCTTTAGCAAAAGCTTCATAATCTTCCTCTCCTTCTGCTCCTCAGGTGACAGTTCCTCCTCTTCCTCCTCATTCAAAAGAGCACCAAAGTACTGATAATCCTCTGGCTTCATGAACGGCAACCCACCAGGTGCCTCCTTGGGAACATCAAACTGCTGCCCCCGATTCTCTTCAGGGATAGAATAAAGTGGTGTGCCAATAGGAGTTGGAGTAGCAAGAAGCTTCCTTGCTGGAGTCCTGATAGGAACATAAGAAGCTGGGGGTTCAAGGATCTTGTAACCCTCCTGAGGAAACATTGCATCAAGCTCTTCATCAGTCAAAGGTCTGTTCCTCTCTTCAATATCCCTCTCCCACCTCAGCAAATTATACTGTTCTGGTGTCATAGGACCCCGAAGATTGATAGCTCCAGGAGTTGGAGTTGCTAAATCAACCCCGCCAATGGGAGTGACTCCAGGAGTGAAGGCTGCAGCTGGAGTTGCAGCACCTGGCAGTGGGGTGGCACTTCCCATGGTAGCTGGTGTCTCATCCCATCTTGATCTTTGCCGTTTGGGAGTAGGGGTAGCTAGCCCACCAAGCTTTGGCGTAGCATCCCAAGTCATCCCAGCTGGAGTTGCACCAGGGGTGGCAGCAGCTGGAGTGGCATCAGAATCTGCAAGCCGCCCAGGAGTCGGAGTCTCATCCCACCGGTTCCGGCGAGAAATTGAAGGGGTTGCATCTCCAACTCTTCCAGGAGTTGGAGTCGCATCCCACCTCCCAATCCCAGGAGTTGAATCTGGTGCATCCCAATCAGAGCTTGATTTTAACTTCTTCACAGCAGAAGCGCCGTCAGAATCCTGCGACTGATCCCACCTGTTCCTCCTCTTTTGGGCAGCAGCTGCCGGAGGAGCATCAGCGGCAGCAGCCTTGTTGTTTTTCTCCTCCTCATGTTTCTTTGCAGCAGCTTTGAGCAACTCTTCCTTCTGGCGTTGGAGGGCTTGTTCTCTCATGACGTCAGCATAAGTCCTTACCGATGGGTCAGGGGTGGCCTCGCCTGAGGCAAAAGGGTCGTTACGTGCAGGGGATATGATACGATCGAGTCGTCGGCGGCGATACTCATCCTCACGGTCAATGATTCGGGAGGGCTTCTTGAACCCTGAGTCGTCCTCACCATCCGCCCGAGGGACATCTATCAGCGACTTGGGAGCCGTATAGGATGGCATGCGGCGGCGGCCAATAAGCGAAGCATCCCCGTCCGCTTCGTCCTCGTCCTCATTCACAGGAATGGATCGTGCGTAGCCCTCGAAGCGATTTTCCTCGTAGAGATCGGAGTCGAAGGTCACGGAGGCTAAAGGTGCCAAGTTCTCCATATTCCGCCGCTCCTCCTGCGCCTTCTTAATCTCGTTGTCGATGTTATTTCTATCTACTTCCATCTTCTGCAAAACCAAAGGGGCTGTTTGGAATTGGATTTGCAGCGGGATTTAAAAGTCGAATTTACGCTATATCCAGCCAAACGGTTTTTGTGCGCGCGTTAAATCCCGGCGATGGGTAAATCCCAGATTTAAGGATTTACGGCTTAAATCCCGGATTTAATAAATCGCTCGGTTCGGCGGATTTATTGGATTTAACCGAAGAAGCGCGCGAAAGGGAGAAAGTTACCTTCACGGCCAGCGAGCACCGTTGTTGCTTCCGATCAAAATGTCCTAACTTCCGATCCGACAGGAAGGGAAAGTCGTCGAAGGAGTGAAGTCGAACAACCACGAAGGAGCCTAAGTACCGACGCGTGCAATCTCTACACCTCCTGCGAAGCAACGAAGCCGAACACCGACGACGAAAAGAAAAGATGAAATGCAAACCCTAGACGCCTCTAAGTTATTATTGATAAATTAAATTAATATAATTTAAAAAAATTGGTAATTAAGTAATTTAATTAAATAGTTAATAATTTAATTAGTGCATAAATTAATACTAATTTAACTTCGTTGAATAATTAATGATATAATTAGTAATTAAATATTAATAAAATTAGCTTAATTAATATAACTTATAATATATCTATACTACTATTATAAAAGGGCTTGAGTTTTCTTCCTCCTGTAAATCTTGTTCATCCATTCTACTTATTTTTTAATTATTTTGGCCGTCCATTCTATTAAAAAATATTTAATAAATCAAACAATTCACATTATATAGAACTCATTTAATTTTACTGCCCCTAGAGATTCCTAAGTTCTGTTTTCCTATTTCTAATCTTCACTGTATGTTTTAATAAATCAAAAAAATTCACAATTAATAAAACTCATTTAATTTTAACGTCCCTTCATATTCCCTAAGTTAAGTTTACCTATTCCTAATCTGCACCTTTTGCTACTTTATTTATTAATTCTGCACATTTTTATGTCATATGATTAACTTCTTTCTGCAAGTCTAAACCTATCCTAATATCGGGACGCTTCGTCTTCGACCCTTCTCCATAGTCTTCGGCTTGCCCTAGCTGATTCCACTGGCCGTCAAGTTGGTTTCTCTCCAATTAATTCAGTCTTATGAAATTCTTCAACGTCTTGCTGCCTCCGCTCGTCGTCATCTCCTCCGGTAGGTTTCGTGCCCTTAAAATATTTAATGTAACTCTTGGCATTTAATCACCCGCTTCTTCATTTCGTTTTTTCAACTTCTTAAACGTTTCAGGATCCTTTCTCCAATTAATTTGGATGCCTGAAGATGAATTCAACCATCGAAAAGTTCCAACCTCTGATCATTCGGTGGCCGTAAGATGACTGTCGCATGTTCTCTTTCTCCCTTATATATTATTCTTACATGTTTTCCCTTTTGCTCTTTCGTTTCTGGATCTCTACTTCAGCGAACCTGTGAATCTCGACACCATTTTGGCTTCAAATTTAGGTAATTAATTTTATGATGTAAATCATTTATTAAGTTCGTCTTTAGAAGTGAATATATTTCTTGTCCGAATTATGTTTTTTAAAATTGTCTGATAGCTTTTTCATTTCTGGATCTCTACTATTTTTGCTTCAGTGAACCGGTGAATCTGGACTTCGTCCAACCTTGATCGCGCTGCTAAAAGCTGTATGGAAACTTAAAACTAACTAATTTTATGTAACATATAAATAAAAATCTGAGATATATAGGTACATAATTGCCAACATAAATAAAGGGTTGATTCAAAGTGGGGTTGTAAGGAGTGTTGAAGAGCTTATACAAGTAGCCGATAATAGCCATAGAGATGTTATGATGTGTAGAACAAGAACTAATTAGTAGTAATCTCACATATTGTTACAATTATTCCTAGCTATAATTTTGTTGTAAAGAAACCCCAAATTATTTTCACCAGTGGATAGCCACATGACTTTAGATCTCTAGATGATCAAGAGGACCAAGAAGAGTAACAAGAAGCCAGTTGATGACTAATATCTTTAAAAACAATATTAATTATTTATTTAAATAATAAAAATATAACTAAAATAATCATGTGCTAATTTCTCATTCCTTGCACTCTTACCACAACTTGCCGACTCTTCTGGATTTACAAATTTGCCCCATTTACTGTAATCTTCAACCTTTCTTTTTGTAATTTATTGTTTTCGATCTTATTGTCCTCAACAATACTTCCTTCCTTCTCCGAAGTTGCCATCTCGTTTGAACGAACAATTTCAATCCTATCACCATTACCTTGTATTTCTCTTATAACAACTATTTTCTGTATCTCTCCTTCTCGCTGTCTCTTCAGACTGTTTTGGCTCTAAAATTTTTAACCTCTCCTTATAAATTTGCATCTCTTATGTATCTCTCATTGTCTCTCCTTGCGTAGTCTTCATAGAGCTATCAAAATCAAAATTTCAGCTACGTGAAAGAGAACGTACAATCTTTCTAAACAAATAAATTGAAGTATGGAAATAAAACTTTATATGAGGCAACCAATGTGGGGCATTTTAAGAAGGCAACTTAATGCCTAGCTCCCCACATTAATGGAAATTTTTTGGGTGATGATAGATCTCAAAGGAATATATTTTATTTCAAATGAGTATAAAGAAACTTTTGATTTATAACCCATAAATTACAATCATCTCAATTCTAATCCAATGACCATGAGATCATATCAAAATTTAGTTCAAAGTATTCTGAACGAATATTTTTCCCCATCTACCACAAAATATTTTGAATGTTTTACACAACTGTTTCTCCTATAAATAAGACATTACCCTAAACTCAAAATGTAACTAAGTGAAAAAAAAACCCTCTTTACATTTGATGAAATATCTTGCATGTTTTATATACATCGTTTTATTTGTCTTAAATATACGTATAAGAAGTTTTAAATTTGTTTTTGAAGATGTTTAATTTTATATCTTTATTTTGTATTTTATGTTTGTCTTATGTTTAGTAAAAATTGTGTTAATGAATTTTTTTTGTGATATCATGCTTGAGATAACATCATACAAAAAGTTTTTAAAACCGTAAATGCCGGTCCCAAGCGCGGATGAAAAAGGTTGAAGATTTATTTTTGTTACAATAAAACTACTTCCACAACTTCTCTGGATCCTCACAAGATTCTGATTTCTCCTTGAACATCTTGAGCACTGCAACCATGCTATCACAGAAACAAATAAAGATCATATATGAAAAGGAAATGAATAGTTCAATAAAACTTTATGAACTTCTTAAACCAACCTGCTTAGAGTCACGATCATACTTGACAATAACAAGGATGGGTCGAGTATGCAGATTGTAGTGCCCACTTTTAATCATACAAAAGTTAGAATGCCTGCGTAGAATATTTTTCCTTAACCTTTACAAATATATCATGAATATTTCTTATGTTGACTGCTTCAGGGAAATGAGTGCAAAAACATTTTGCATATTGGCAAGCAAGCATTTTCATGCATGGAGCTGTTCCATTAAGTGGAAGGTCTTTCTGGAATTATTTTGTTCATGCTTTTTTTTGTTTTATTTTTGTTAAGTTGATTTCATCTCTTTGGTTGGATTATATTTTTTTCATCTCAGTAGTTAAGTAAATCAAGTAGAGAGCATTCTCTAACTCATCATTCTAAATATTTGTTGGATTCCCTAAAAGCAAGATCACACTCATATAAGTGGTATAATGCTGATGAGACTATTCTTGTAAAGAAAATAAAGGATGGCTTCTTTGAAGCTACCAACATAGCTGGATTC